AATATTCGATGTCGAAATCGAATTCAGCTAAATCGGATTGCCAACGCATTATCCTGGTGACTTTGAATCTTTTCTTCTTTAGCTCACATAGAGCATGATGATCGGTAACGACAATAAATTTCTTATGTCGAAGAAAATGAGCAAATTTTTGACAAGCATATACAACTGCAGCACATTCTTTTTCTGTGGTTGTATATGAATATTGATACTTTTTCAATTTGCATCCAAAGAAATAGATTGGATTCCAAATTCCATCCTGATCTTTCTGAGTTAGTACACCTCCAATTGCGACTGCTGAGGCATCGACCAATAATTTCGTTTCTCTATCAGGGTAAAAATGAGTTAACATGCATCTTTCTGTCAATGCTTTCTTTAAATTTAACCATGATTCTAAGTATTTTCCTTGAACGGTAACTGGAACTCCTTTGTATCTGTTTTTAACGAGCTCTTGTAATGGTGCGGCAATAGCGGCAAAATTTTTGATGAATCTTGAAAAATAATTGAAGATTCCAAGATGTGATCTTATTTGTGATTGTGATGTCGGAGGATTAAGTTTCTTAATCCTCTCGATTTTCTTTGGATCAGGTTGGACTGTTTTCCCTGAAACTAAGTGACCTAAGCAAACGAACTTTGTCACTCCTGCTTGTAGTTTCTCGACACGATTTTTGAATCCATAGACTCTCAATGCGGCCATTACTCTTCTTGTATTTTCACATAGTTGATCAATTGTTTTACCATAAACGACAATATCATCGAAATATCCAAAACAACATGTATATCTTAATTCTCCAAGAATTTTACTAATCACTTCGATGAAATAGGATGGCGCATCCGCCAATCCCATTGGTAATCTCTTGTAACGATAACATCCATCTTCAGTTACGAAACTGGTTTTGTCTCTTTCCTCTTCGGGAATTTCCAATTGGTAATAGCCTTGAGCTAAATCCAATGTTGTAAAAAACTTGTTTCCTTTCAATTGATTTATCGCTTCATCGATATTTGGAACTGGAAATTGTCTTTTATTGATGAGCTTATTAATCTCGATATAAGATGTAACCATTCTCCATGAACCATCAGGTTTCGGAACGACGAAGGCTGGAGCACCTCCACCCACGTCAGAATCCTCGATTATCCCGTTCTCTTTGAACTCACTGATTATTTTTCTCATTTCTTGTTTCATCTTCTCACTGGATCTAAATGGTTTTTGTTTTGGTATCGCTTTATCTCAAATATCGCTTTTAAATTTTGTAATTTCTGCTGGAACACATCCCAAATCGAATTTATGAGTTGAGAAAGAAGCTTTCTCCTCAATCAATAGTTGATGAATTTTTCTTTTATCTTCCTCAGGTAATTCTGGGTTGATTTGCTGGTATAACTTTGCTTCAATGTTGTTAATGTTTTCAGGTAGATCGATTGTCATTTCTTTAAATTCTTCAACAACTGAAATCATTGCTGGAAATTCGAGTGGATACTCATTCTTTACAAACTTCACTGTATTGATTTTTGGCTTTTCGTTTAACAGATTCTCTGATTGTTTAACTTTAAATAATTTCTTTAAATCATAATTACCATCATACCATTTGTTTAACATCCTTTCGATGTCTTCAATCTGGTTTTCAATGACTAATTTGTATTCAGTATCTGAATCAAATTGTCTCAATTCATAGGGTCTTTGTGGTCCTTTGGCTTTGATGATTAACTCGGTATACTTAATCACATTTTCACCAAGGATGATATCATTTGAAAGATTTTAATCACATACGCAGCTAATAGAGTTGATTCATTTCCTTTATGAACTCTGAGAGGTATGAATGAATTACACTGAACTGGAGCTGAATTGATTGCTTGAAATTTCAAGTCATAAGGATAAGCAAGGAAACCTAATTTGCTTGCAACACTTTGATTAATCAATGTTGTACATGCTCCTGTATCAATTAAACTCTTATTGTATTCACACAATTGTTTGCGATTATCACATCAATCATTGGATGTCTTTGATCGTCTCTATTAGAATTTGTAGTAAACACTTTAGCTGTATGGATGAAGTGACCTTCATCCTTACTAGCTGGATTTTCACAATCAAAATAACTAACATTGTTTCCTTTGTCTGAGTTGAATCGTTGATTTGAGTTTGTTGTTGAACTTGCACTTGAATTTGGTGATGATGACGGTGATAAGGTTGGTGGTGAATTGTTTATTGGTTGATTTGTAACACTGTTGTTATCGGTGGAAGAGTAACTCTTCGCCGATCGTTTCATCTTTGTACCAACATTTATCTTCATAATGAGTGTTCGATTTACACTTTGAACATTATTTATTTCTTGTGTTTCTATTTTGTTGATTTGCTTGACTTGAAGATTCATTTGATCCTCTTTGATAGCCATTTGATTGTCTACCTCTACCTTGGTATCCATTCTCTCCTTGTTTTCATTTGACTTTGAAGAAATTTTATCTTTGCCAATAGCCAAAATTTTTTTTTACCATTTCTGTTTCCATTCGGTGACTTCTGGTATAATCTCATTTTGTAATTCTTGGGAGAGCCAATAATAGGTTAGAGCTTTAATTTTATCATCACTTTGAGGATAAATTACTTTTAACGAGCTTTCAATTCTCTTGATGAACTCATTCGGATCTTCTCCATTGTTGTATCTTTTTGTGTTAGCGTAATAACGCTTGTGTAACTGAGGCTGTTACTGTTGATTTTAACATCTTCGCTTCCATTCCTCATATCTTAAGAATGGCGAAGTGTGATTGAGTGACTCAGTCACATTTCGAATTTCCTTCTAGCAACACCGTTATGTGGTCTTCCACGTTTCTCTTGTCGGGTCAATGATTCTCAGATCATATTCCGCGCTTTCAATGAATTCTGCGAATGTTGTCTCTTTATGAGGGAATTTTCTTTGTTCAGTCTATCACGAGCCAATTGAGCAGGAAGCGATAGCTGTCTCGGCATTTCGAACGGTTGTTGAATCGATAAATTGTTGAATCTCGATAGTGTTGAATATTTGTTAGCCAACAATGTAGCTTGAGCTCTAATTCCAAGCTCTTTTAAATGTTCACAATTATACGATCCCAACTCTTCAATTGTTCTAATACCATTTTCCAATAATGTACCAATTAGAAAATTAGCACCATTCTTTCTTAATTCTATTCCATCTTCCCATTTAAATCTGATATCTCTCGTAATATCGATTGTCGTAGGTATCTCTTCATTTTGATAAATGTATTGAACGGCATGAGCTTCAAGTAACTCTTTCTTCAACATTTCATCATTTTACTATTAATCTTTGTATACCCCATTGACCTGCCAACTCCATTAATTGTTGTCGATTAAGTTCCTTAATCATCAATCTTTGATCTATTGGCTGTCGTATTATGATGACGTAAGATTATCTTGTATTTCGGTCATTTTCTTTTCTTTCTTTAAACGCTTTTTTCTTTTGTAGAATTTTCTAATTCTTTTCTTGGCTTTTCAGTCGATGAAGTAACTTCAATCTACTGTTTCTTTTGTTGAGTGTTTTAGTTTTAGGTTTATTATTGATGAAGATTTTCCTAATTCACAGGTGACCTTCAGAAATTAAGATTGTGACTAATTTGAGATAGAGTAACTTGATCTCAAATGGTTCCAATGAAGTAAAGAAAACCTTTACTTAGCACAGTGTCAATCACTAGTCCAGATACTGATGGAGTAGCTCCGTCAATATTTAAACAACTGGTGATTATTATACCAATTAATATCAATTCAATCACTTATGATAGCGAAGACATCTCCACCATTTGTTAGGAATATAAGGACAAGTAAGATCGCATCGAGTGAATTGAATTTTATTAAACACTGAAATTATCAGAACTTTCAAAGGTATCACAATTGACGGTTAATTTTATTGAAGGGTAACTTATTTGAAAAAGGTTAAAGGGTGATTAGGGTTAGTTCATCTGAGGTAGTTAATTAAAGTATTTTAAAGGGAATTAATTTGATCTTAACAATAGAACACTAAAGATACTAAGAACACTAGCTTGAGTTTCTCAAGCTGGTGGCTATTTAAGGTATTCAATTGTATCAGCTGATCTAATTATTGAGGGATGATTTCATAATTACAAATAACAAAGGCTAATCCCTACAAAAAGAAAGAGGAATTAATATCCTTTGATTTTCTTTCTCCAATTTCTTCATTACACCCCACCCTATGATTAAACAAAGGGAGATGAGAGACAATTTATGGTTGTTCAGCGATTCTCTTCAGCTTGTTGATTGGGATGAGATGCTTGGAATGAACTTGTTCAATTCTGAGAGGTAATTCTGTGATGGCAATGTTGTAAATGTTATCAGCAATTTTTCCAGCGACTCTGTATGGTCCACAGCTATTTGGATCTAATTTCCTCTTGTTGATCCCAGCAAGATTTTTAACGTAAACAATTTCGTTATCAGCGAATTTATAATCATCATGTTTATGATTAAAAAGATCAGCATTAGCTTGATGATTATCCAATGAATTTCTGAAAGCTTGAGTTCGAGCTTCATCTAATTCAGGGAATTCAATATCATCACAGTTTTCGGGTTTACTTCCATTAAACAGATAAAATGGAGTAAATTTGGTGACAGCATGAGGAGTATGATTGTACTCAAAGATCGTACGTTGTAAGTATTTGACCCAGCCATATCGATAGTTGTTGGAGATCATTTTGATTCTGATCCTATCGATTATTGTGTTTCCAACACGCTCACAAAGTCCATTACTTTGGGGTGATGATTTTGGAATGAAAGTGATATTAATCTTCATCCGGTCCAAATATTCAGCGAATTCATTTGATGTTATAGCAGTGTATTTATCAGCTAGCAAGGTATCAGGTTTACCATCAGCGATCACTTTATTAATCAGTGATATAAATTCAGCAGCAGTTTGGTGATTCGAGGCAATAGCCCAGACAAATCTAGTGAAATGGTCAACAGCAAAATGGATGTAGCGTTTCTTGGATCCATATCGATCCAGCTTTGAGTCTCGAGCTGCTGGAGAAACTATTTCGAGAAAATAATTTATTGATTATTATCTATGAATTATTAATAACAAACAATTAGACAAAATTAATACACTTACGAGGGAAAAACTTGACAGCCAAAACATTGTCCTTGTCAGTTGGTTTTCCAGCACCAACATTGAAAACTGATTTATCTTGATTATTGATTCCACTGTTGTTTACAATCACATTATCAGTTGATTGGTCAAGTTTGTAATTAGCTTGGACACATCGTTGACCTTTTTCAAAGATCAAATTGGTTCGTTCAATTTCATACCAGGTACCAAGGAACTGGTCAACAAATAAGCAAATGATTACTTTTTCGGACTAAATTGATCACAATCGAGTTTTCTTACCTCATTGATTTTAAATGGCTCAGCCAAAGATTTAGTTTACCTGGTGTAACACTTTGAGCGATCTCATTTAAATTGGGTAATTGTAAATTAGTGTAGTTGAATAGATTGGGAAGTAATTGCTGAAGCTGTTTGATTAATTGTTGTGGATCTAATTGAGCTGGTTAAAAAGTTAGATTTTAAAGCTTTCAAACGCGGTCAGAACTGTGGCAACTTGTCCGTTGGAAGTAACTGACAGGTCATGGTCGGTACTTTGAGTAGCTTTGAGTTGTTTAATTTAATAATTATCATGAATAATAATTATCAATCAAAATAATTATCTGGAGAAAAGTATTTACAGTTTTGTTGTGTTGTGCTGTCATGAAGCGGTAAAGAAGTTGAGACAAACCAAATGATTGTAATTCATTTTTAAGTTTAACAACTTTATTAATTTTCATCAGTCATTACAGGGAAACAATTAACTGATTGTTTGCAGGTTCAAGGTTTTTTATTTATACTGTTGTCGTTTCAATGATAGACTGATTGATTTGATCCAGTTTCAAAATTATCAAGGATGGTAGTTATGGGAAACATTATTTCAAGTAAACTAACCCACCTACAGAATCTATTTGAAAATCGTGAGGGTGAGACAATATTTGAGAAAGACCGAGTGGACCAAGCAAAACGTATTCTTAAACCGTTTGTCCTTCGTCGACTTAAAGTTAATGTTCTTAAACAATTACCCAACAAAACGGAACATATTAAAAAGTGCCCCATGGAAAATGAACAAGAATTCAAGTATATGGAACTCGTTGAAAATTATACTCGAGAGTATCGATATAGTGGGAAAAATATTTACGAAAATGGTGGTGACGAACCTGATGAGAGTTTTGTCAAGTACCGAAAGGGAGCAGCCATGTTGATGGAATTAAGGAAGGCAGCTAATCATCCACTTCTACTGAGAAGATATTACGATCTGAGCAAACTTCGAGAAATGGCCAAGATCATCGTAAAAGAACCAGCTCATCGTGATGCCAGAGTTGATTATGTCTTTGAAGACATGGAAGTGATGAATGATTTTGAACTTCACAATTTATGTTGTAAACATCAATCATTAGAGAGATTTAGATTAACCAACGATTTTATCCTCAATTCTGGTAAATTCAAAGCCCTTGACGATTTACTGCCTTTCTTTAAGAAACGAAACCAAAGAGTTCTGATTTTCAGTCAATTCGTCATGATGCTTGATATTATGGCAGAATATCTTAAAGACCCATCGTCATTTTCAATGGTAAAAGTGTAAGATGATAATGATCAGAAATTAACGTTTGACTGCTGATTAGTTGAGTCCAGGTGGTAGAGATAGGTGAAGAAGAGACGAATCAGGAATCAAATAGCGTTGAAATAGTACTTCGATCTCTAAATGATTTAAAAATTGTTTTAACTCCACTGAAACGCGGAAAAGACTTTGATGAAACTTCAATTGGTTCAAAGTGTAATAACAATCAACTTAATTGTAAACACAATTCACTTTCTAATCAACCAGCGACTAGAAATATCTAATCAAATTCAAATCATTAAATTGTTCAAAAATTATTTATCAACCACTAAACTAATTACCTCTTTAATTTTTAAAACATCATTAATAATCCTTATCTTCTAGCTCAATTTTTCGAAGAAATTTCTAATTAATACATTGTACGTCGGTTCGTGTCAATCAAATGCTATTTCAGCTCATAAAGATGATTTTACACATGTAGTCAATTTATTAACCGTATTATTAATACATTGTCTCAGTCGAAGGAAATTTTCCGTTCACTTTCAATTATGATTTCATTGGAAACATTTATTAGAGTCAATTGGTGAAAACCAGAATTTTACTATCAATATCATTTGTCAATTTACTAGGTAAAAATTTAATTGATCAGCTTCGTAAACAATGATCTAATTTATCCTTGCCATGTCAATAGACAGACAGAGAGATAATTGAAACTCGTTGAGACAAACCTCTTAACGTTCTTTCACCAATGACTTAATTGACCTTGATCGCTCAGGATGACAATTGAGAATTGCTCAAACTCATATCACTCAAATCTCGTGTCACTATAACTTATAGCTGCTGAGAAGATTGCAAAAAAACCTGCGAAAATAACTGAATAGTTCTGTAATAATTATAATGACCGTCAAGTAGAAAATTTCGTTAGATTATCAATATGCATTGACATCTACAGTATCTTGCACAAAGAGTGACAGTAGCGTTTATCGTCCTAATTTGAAAATGAGTCCAAATTTTGATCTGATTTTTCTCAGATAGATTGATTAGAAACTAATGCACATACAAAAAAAAATTTCGTGAAATTATCATGATTTCTCGAAAAGTTATATGATTTTATTTTCACTGTAATCGAACTTTTCCAAACAAAGTCAGCTTTTTTGAGCATTCAAATCTGAATAACATGGAAATCATAGTTACAATAATGAGCGAATTATAAATTTTGTTCAGCTTTGCTTTTAGATAATGAAAGTTTTTTGAAAAATTCAAAAAAGATAATTTTGAAAATTTTAGTCTATGGAGGTCCAAAAATAACGATTTTTCTGGTGAAAAATCGATAATGATTTTAATTACAATTAAGATAATAAAATTTCTTTAAAATTTAAAATTTTCAAAGTATAATTTTGACATGATACTTGAGCTAACTGCTGAAAAAATTTCGGACATCAAATTTTGTTACTTGAGTTTTAAGGCCAAAAAACGCGACTTCTATCTCGAGCAAATTCTATTTTTGCTCGCTAGAATCGTTATAGCTCGTTATTCTGCCGAATTTTTGCAAGAAATTTTTTTTGTGATTAGTCCAAATACCTGACTAAAACTTAGTGAAAAAATTGCAACTCAATAGTTGAATCGATCTTAGTAACAAATGAAAACGCTACTGTCAGTTTTTGTGCAAGATACTGTAGTGTTTAACCACATGACACTTTGATCAAATGTTTGAATTTTATCATTATTATAAATCTTTTGGTACCTAAAAATTTCTGATCCATACTTGATTTCACAAAGATTAGAATGAGTACTGAAAATATTTATTTGATTGTTTTGCTGGTCAAAAACTTTCGGCACTAAATGATACTTCAAGTTGAAAAATAATAATTTTAGAGAACGAAAACTTTTCTAGTACTTCATCAGTAATGTCAGTTATTAATCGTTCCATCTCATTATTCCTATTGTTAAGCTGAACATTATTAGTAGTTTTAACGATGGTTTTAAACGAGGTAATCATGGCATTATCCTGTTCGTCAATTTACTGGAGAATTAAAATTAAATTAATCAGCTTCGTAAACAACGATCTATTTTATCCCATGTCAATAGTAGAATCACAAAAAAAAACATTTATTTTCTGAATGCTCATCACCAAAATGTTGATTTAATCACTTGATAAACTTATTATTAGTACAGCTGAATTTTACTTCTATTTAAATTCATTGAGAAAACCTCGCAACGAAATCGTAGCCTTTAAAGTATTGAAGTTAATTAAATCCAATATCTTTGTGACTATTTAATTTGCCATAAAAAGAATTCCGAATGTTAGGTCATTCAAAAAGTCTTTACCCTTGGTTAGTTGCAATTTTTTCATCTAGATGGGACTATTACCAATCGATTCTTTGTCTATTTTTATGGTAATTTCACCATTTTGAAAAGTTTTTTTTCGCTAGTTTTATTTATACAACAAAATAAGTACCATGACCTCAGTTCAGTTTCGAAGTGTAATTAAGTTTTTTGTGGACAAAAAGTGCTCACTGGCCGACACTTTCAATCATCTCAAAGATGTTTATGGCGACGATAGTCCATCATATGAGAATGTTAAATATTGGCATCGCCAGTTTAAACATGGACGTACAAGTGTTGATGATGGCCCTCGAAGTGGCCGACCAGTAGAAATTGATCATCCAAGTGCCGCTAGTGACCTGGCCGCTATATTGTCAGAAGACAAAAATATTTCCATTGATAAATTATCTTCAATTACTGGACTATCGGTTGGTACCACTTTCAACATTATAAAAAATGAGCTTGGTATGAAAAAATTAACAACAAAGTGGATTCCTCATGTTTTGTCTGAGGCAAACAAACAAAGGCGAATTGAGTGTTGCCGTTTGGCCTTAGGTCATTATAAAAAGCAACCAAATGCTTTTCTAAAGTGTATAATAACTATGGATGAGACTTGGTGTTATGCTTATGACCCTGCACCTTCGAACGAGGCAAAAGAATGGGTCACTAGCAAGGATGAGGTCACTCAAAGGCCAAGGCTCAACCGACACAGTAAAAAGGTCATGTTATCGGTATTTTGGGATTCGTTTGGAATTGTCTATGCCAACTTCATGCCAAAAGGTAAATCCATTGATGGTGAAGAGTATCGAAGACAACTTGAGGCCGCTGATGATGTTTTAAAATCCTTAAGACCAGATAGACCAGATCGAAGGCCAGTCTTCTTGCAGGACAATGCGAGGATTCACACGGCAGCCGAAACAAAGGCTAAAATCGATGAATTGGGCTGGTTTTTGCTTGACCACCCCCCTATTCTCCTGACTTAGCCCCTAGTGATTACTTTTTGTTTGGACACCTGAAGAGACACCTGCGTGGTAAGAGATATGAGAGCGAAAGTAGCCTCAGAGACGCCGTTCGCTCATTTTTAGATTCTCAGCCGCCATCTTGGTATGCCGAAGGAATAGCAAAATTACCCGATAGGTGGCAACGTTGTATTGATGGGGGAGGAGAATGCCTAGTTTAAACTGGTTCCTAAGTCTCATCTTCATACCGAGGGTAAAGACTTATTGAATGACTCTTGTGCAAGTTTCATATAAAATGAGTATACATTTGATTTTAACTTTAGTTTAATTTTTGCTTTTAGTCAATAATCACTGAGCGAATTCAATTGTGTGTGTGTGAAAAAAGTTCATCATGAATTTCATCAAATGTTCAACATTTACTTTAAGCGTCATCATATTTTCTATTTTCCCATTGATAAACCTCGTCAAAACTGATGATAGTAATGAGCCGGAGCCAAACTTTGATCTTAAGGATCTGAGTAACTTTGCTATTCAATATATTAATAATAGATTAAATGAATTAAAGAATACTCTCTTAAATAACCAATTTTTTAATGAAGTGCTAAGCCTTATAAATATGTTTAGTCAAGCACAAGCCAATGAAGGGGTGTGAAGTGCTGATGCTAGACCAGTTTCTACTGCTAGAGCTGCTGGTGGCGTGGCCGGTGCTGGGATTGGTGCTGCAGCTTGTAATTATGGTTCTACGTAGTCTAGGTGGGCTAGCTAGTTATGGTCAAGGTTATGGTGCTTTTGTTAAACTAAATGTTTTTACCTGGTGCGGTTTCTGTTTCTGCGTATTTTGCTTGCTCTTGTACTCACCTTTCAGTCTTACCTCATGTGGCTAACTCATTTGTTTGTTGGTAAACAATATAAATAAATTTAATAATCGTTTAATTGTGATGAACTGTTCAAAAGATTCTTATTATCAATAAACCGCTTCTCAGTTTACTGATGAGACAAGTTTTTCAAAAAAACTTTTTTTATTATTCAAAAAGTTACTGATCAGCTTTGCAAGAATGATTTATTAAAATATTTTATGCATGTCATGTCGATAATACAATTGCAATTAAAAACATTAAACACTAAAATTTTTTTAATCAAACAATTTCCTTTTGGCCACTTAGTTCACCTGTGAAATATCAACTCGATTGTGACAGTAATAACGCGGCAATTTCGACAAAAAGATTGTGGGAATCGATTTGTCACCCAGTACATTGTAATATTTCTAGCACCATGCAATTAGTTAATATTGTTAACAATTAAGGTGATTCCCGAATCTTTCGATTCATATAATAAAATTTTCGAATACGGCCAATAGATCTCGACTAGTAAGTGTCATAAATATTGAATTTACTGACCAATTCCAATTCGAACCAGTCGTCGGCTGATCGTTAAAATTGGTTTAATTTTCGCGCTATCATTTTTGTCGATTTTTGACTGCAATTAGGGTAATAAATGGAATTTTTCATTCCTGACCTATGGTACAACTCTATAGACTGACCTTGGAAGTATCTTAGAACTTTCTAGTCTATCAGCCCATTGATAAAAACTTAATTCAGGATGGCGACTAAGAAAAGACACTATTAGAGCTCGGACTTGACCTCTATTAGGAACCATTTTAAAAAACAGCTGATTGTTAATTAATTTTAATTTAATACCAAAATGATGCCTGCTAAATTTCCGTTAGAATGAACCTAATTT